AAAAAAGTTCATTTTATTTCTCATTAATGTACACTCAGCACCCCATCTTGACAGAAAAAAACAGAAATGTAGAAATTTTTGCAAATTTATTAAAAAAGAAAAACTGAAATATCACATGGTCATAAGTATTCAGACCCTTTGCTGTGACACTCATATTTAACTCACATGCTGTCCATTTCTTCTGATCCTCCTTGAGATGGTTCTACTCCTTCATTGGAGTCCAGCTGTGTTTAATTAAACTGATTGGACTTGATTAGGAAAGGCACACACCTGTCTATATAAGACCTTACAGCTCACAGTGCATGTCAGAGCAAATGAGAATCATGAGGTCGAAGGAACTGCCCAAGGAGCTCAGAGACAGAATTGTGGCAAGGCACAGATGTGGCCAAGGTTACAAAAGAATTTCTGCAGCACACAAGGTTCCTAAGAGCACAGTGGCCTCCATAATCCTTAAATGTAAGAAGTTTGGGACGACCAGAACTCTTCCTAGACCTGGCCGTCCAGCCAAACTGAGCAATCGTGGAAGAAGAGCCTTGGTGAGAGAGGTAAAGAAGAACCCAAAGATCACTGTGGCTGAGCTCCAGAGATGCAGTAGGGAGATGGGAGAAAGTTCCACAAAGTCAACTATCACTGCAGCCCTCCACCAGTCGGGGCTTTATGGCAGAGTGGCCCGACGGAAGCCTCTCCTCAGTGCAAGACATATGAAAGCCCGCATAGAGTTTGCCAAAAAACACATGAAGGACTCCCAGACTATGAGAAATAAGATTCTCTGGTCTGAGACGAAGATTGAACTTTTTGGAGTTAATTCTAAGCGGTATGTGTGGAGAAAACCAGGCACTGCTCATCACCTGCCCAATACAATCCCAACAGTGAAACATGGTGGTGGCAGCATCATGCTATGGGGGTGTTTTTCAGCTGCAGGGACAGGACGACTGGTTGCAATTGAAGGAAAGATGAAGATGAAGATGAATGTGAGTACAGAGATATCCTGGAAGAAAACCTCTTCCAGAGTGCTCTGGACCTCAGACTGGGCCGAAGGTTCACCTTCCAACAAGACAATGACCCTAAGCACACAGCTAAAATAACAAAGTAGTGGCTTCGGAACAACTCTGTGACCATTCTTGACTGGCCCAGCTAGAGCCCTGACCTAAACCCAATTGAGCATCTCTGGAGAGACCTGAAAATGGCTGTCCACCAACGTTCACCATCCAACCTGACGGAACTGGAGAGGATCTGCAAGGAAGAATGGCAGAGGATCCCCAAATCCAGGTGTGAAAAACTTGTTGCATCATTCCCAAGAAGACTCATGGCTGTCAAAAGGGTGCTTCTACTCAATACTGAGCAAAGGGTCTGAATACTTATGACCATGTGATATTTCAGTTTTTCTTTTTTAATAAATTTGCAAAAATTTCTACATTTCTGTTTTTTTCTGTCACGATGGGGTGCTGAGTGTACATTAATGAGAAATAAAATGAACTTTTTTGATTTTAGCAAATGGCTGCAATGAAACAGAGTGAAAAATTTAAAGGGGTCTGAATACTTTCCGTACCCACTGTACATTGCTTTTGTAATAGGAAGATCTTTTTTTATCTTTGAAACTTGAGGAAAGGACAAGCAGTTAGCATATTTTCCTGTTCGGAGGCCCCTTGTAATCAACCTGAAGTAATGTCACTACAACGGCTTTAAGAGCTTTTATTGGCGCACGTTGAGCATCCAGCAATAGTCTAATTGATATTTCAGAAGACTTTTCTTTTCAGAATATCCCTTGTATTAGAAAGATTATGACTAACAGCTCTCTATATTATTTGTTGGCAGCTTCATCCCATGATGTCATCAGCTTTCAAAAAGCATTTAGTGAAACCTCATACACCGTTCTCACGTCGTCCCTGACACGCACTTCATTAGGACTTTAATCACCTCACCAGGCATGTAATGGCATTCCTTTGGTTGATGCTGGTGGGGGGGGGTTAAAGTATTTACGCTTCCAAACTGTGAAGCGTGGTGGTGTTGGGGGGAGAGTGAGTGCAGCGGGGTCGTGTTGCTGGCTGGCCTGTGCGTGGTAAAACACCATGGTGTCCCTGCTTTATGAGTGGAACCAGGTTCCACTCGGGTCGCCATTGTTGGTGCAGCTGAGCCGGGGGGTGGGGGTCGTGTTTGTAAAAACAGACCCGTCGATGGCACTCTCTCCCCTTTACCAGTGGTCGCCCCTCCTCCCGACCCCTGCACCAGCACCGGTCAATCTGGAAGCCATTTGCTCGGTTTTCCACAGAGAAAGTTCAGGCTTGATCACCTCCAGCATCTGCTGAGTGTTTATTTACCCACAACAGTTAACCCATTAGACAAACTGAAACAGGGCAACTGTAGAGCCACCGATCACTCTGGCCCTCTGAGGACAAGGCGCCAGCACGGGGGGCCAACTGTGTTTCTAGAAATGATCTAGATGGAACACTTTTACTGCCGGGGGAAACATGCTTAGCATTTTAACATGCGTCTTTTCAAGACGATGCTGTTTTTGTAGTCTAAAATAACTTTTTTTCTCAACCTGATCATTTGATAAATTACCTTATTTGAAATATTTGGTCATTAGAAGCTCCTTCTGCGCTCTTGAAAAACAGACTGCAAAAGCATGCCACGTTCACATTCACAGCTTGACATCTGTCCAATTGTTGCCTGAAAAACGAAGCAGAAAAGGTGGAGAGACTGGTAAAACTGAAGCAGCTTTTGAAAGGAATTTGAGTTAGGAATTTGAGAGGACATTCTGTCATGAAATGTCTGCAAGGTGCAAGAAGTCACAAAAGCCTCATGCCATATGGCAGTTTATTAGGAGAGCCTAGCTAAATCTGACACAGTCTGTACGAACTTTATCTGCAGAGAGGGACGGTGTCAAGAAAGGGAGAGTGTTTTGTATATTTGCTGAAGGGAGAGTAGTCTGACTTTCTAGGGACTTGCTAGAAAAAGTGGGCTTTTTGCCACGAGGCACAGAAATGCATGTTTGCCATTTGTAGAGGCCCATAATCCTGTTTTTTCAGGGCTGAACTAGGGCTTTATTTTCCACAACCTAGTCAACTAGTAACTATTATGGCCAATTTGTTGTGGATGCGGGAGCTACACTGTAGCGTAGTGATCTGCTGCTCATGTGTGGAACGCGTCTTCCAAGAGGACAGTTTAAAAAGAACCAGGCCTCTCCACGTCCGTGGTGTCGGCAGCTATCCATGTATGCGTCCCTCTTTTTGAAATTTAACTGAGGCTTTAATCATCCAGTGCGTGAAAGCAAATCTGCTACATACAGAATGAAAGCTTACTGGTGCTGATACTCTGATGACAAAATGTACGCCGCGCAGACAGTACAATTTTGCTTTTAGCCTCGGTTATGCTTTCCACAAGGATGGTCGCACCGACTCGAGTAAACCCTTGGATCTTGTATACTCTGTTTGGTTTCTCCTGGCCTCAAACCAATATTGTCAGGGCTCCTCAAAGTTCTACATTGGAGCAAAAGCCGGCCGCACGGAACCCCCCACCAAGGACAGTGTCTGATGGTGTGATGTCACTTTTTGACAGACACTCGCGACCCTCGTGGATGTACAAATTCGTTCATAATACATGATACTAATAATTGAATAAATTTGACATTATTTTATGTTTGTATTTGTTAAAATGTCTTTTGAATTCAACAAAAGAACATATTTTAACTAAGAATAATTGAATCAGCTAATACGTCACATTGTTTTTTATACGATGTACGATTATAAGTTTAAAAGCCCGATGTGACATATCCGTCAAAACAATATTTTCATAAATTGTATATATAAATTAGTTTGATAAACATGGTTAGAACAGTTTAAAAGTAATATAGGACATGTTATCAACGCATTAGAATTTAGCAACAAAAATAACCTTTTTGAAATTAGCTAGTTCTGTCAAATGTGCTGACAAGCCAGGCAGCCATGCTGAACTTTCCAGTATAAATTGTCTGTGACAACTGTGCACGGAGGGTTCTTATGGGTTGAGTAAATGTTCTTAGTTATGTTACTATCATCAAACCCCTCAGTGCTGCTCTGTGTGGAAGCATCTGCATCTGAAGGTCACCAAACTATCACTCCAAAGTCAAAAGTCTCTACTCCTACAAAATAAAGGCTCGTTTGGGTGAAGGTGCGCCCACACTCAGCCCGATGCCTGCGACTTTTAGGACCAAAACATTTGGGAGGAAATCTGGGAGCCCCTGCATGTGCCCCACCCACCCTCTCCTCCAGCTTTGGGGCTACTGTAGCCGCTATAATAGCCCGCCCTGACCCGATCACCGCCACACTGGACCATCCACCCTACGGGGAAGTGTCAAAACAAACTGGGGGAATTCTGCTGTCCAAACCTGGGAGTTACAGCGACTTTTCACGCGCCGCTCTCGTCTGCATGCAGCTGTTTTCTTACTTGAACATAAGGGATCGGCTTTTCCCCCTCCGGGAAACACTTGCCTCCACATGATGGCTTTCACTATGCTGAGGCCGGTCTCGACGCATTCCTTCTCTTACCCCGCTGACCTGACCTTGATGTCGGACGACGAGGAGGGGAACCGCAGCGAGAGCGACGGCAGCACCGACCAGGGCTACGGCTGCTGCGGGATTCCGGGGGACGGTTACGGGCGGGGGTCCTGCGGCGTGGTGCCGCATCGGAACGCCGCGAACGCCAGGGAGAGGCACCGGACCCAGAACGTCAACACGGCCTTCACGGCGCTGCGGACACTCATCCCCACGGAACCGGTGGACAGGAAGCTCTCCAAGATCGAGACGCTGCGCCTGGCGTCCAGCTACATCTCGCACCTGGCCAACGTGCTGGTGGTCGGCGACGGGAGGCAGGACGGGCAACCGTGCCTGAGCTCGGTCTACAAGGAGGTGAAGGGGGGCGGAGGAGGCAAAAAGCCCCGGAATATCTGCACGTTCTGCCTCAGCAACCAGCGGAAAGGGGTAAGATATTCAGTATATATATATAGGCCTACATATGATATATGAGCATACCATGCCAAGCTATTTATGCAGTTAGAACTTTTATGACACGTTCGCCCGTTATTTTAAAATAGGGATCCAAGTTACATGCCAATTAGAAAGTTTAGGTGGGATTTTAAATAAAACGTACTTGGTTGATCATTTGTATGCCGAATGTCCAATAAAACCATAACATTTCTGAAAACATCGTGGACAGACGAGAGACCTCAAAAGTTGCAAATTTATAAATGGGGTTCAGCATGAAAAAGATGTGCTGCTCAGTGCATTCAGAACGCTAAATAATTATAAAAAGTCCAAATATAAATGAATTTTGTTTTGAAGAATGTGATCCCCCCCATTAATTCTGGTGGGACATCATGTGTTGTCACTCCAGCATGAATGCCTGCTATTCTATTTACATATCAGAATTTAGGGATGAGAGCTATATGAATGTCGTTGGCAAAAAATACTTTTTCTATTCTACACTGAGTTTGAGTAAATTGACATCTCCTCTTGGTTAGACTTTTACAGAAAATTGTTGGAGTGGAATGAGTCTCTTCCACTTTGGAGAGGAGGGTCAGGCTGGAATTAGCTGCATGCATCTCAGTAAAACATGGACGTGGTCCATCATATCATTAAAACCTCTGTGTTGAGATTCAGTGTATTTATTGGTGCCATATAATTCAGTGCATGGAGGTAACTACTGTGATTAATCCATTTTAGACAGCTGTGTAATTGCACTGCACCTGATAATGTGCTCTTATGAAAGTATATCAAAACATCTGAACTTAAAATATATTTCCTATCGACACACAGTGACAGTAACCTTCATCTTTGTTCACAGGTGAAAGACAGACGAGACTGTGTGAAAATGCACGGCAGTGGCGCAAGACAAATTAGTCGACGGTGAAACTGTCTGTGAGGAGGATTGGATGGACTCTTCGGAGCAGACTTCGGGCAAACCTCCACCGACCGTTCCTAGAGTCTGGAAGCAGCTCAGCTTTTGAGGGCCACTCTGACTTTGTGGTTTGGCTCCTTGGTCACTTTGCCCTGTGAGATTAGAGGATTTGCACCAAAAGCATCACCAGCAGATACACTCACACCTGCCAGCACTAAGTAACGTATGAGGGCAATATTGTAAAAGGGAGAAAATGAGTGCTGCTATGTGGATGTTTTGTTCATTTGAATGACAAACATGTTCAGGGGATTGGTGAATTAGACATACAGTGGAATTACACAATGATTTCTTTTTTTTTTTTTGCATTGTTCATTTGTACTTTAGCAGTTTGAAATCTGCAGACCACAGAATATACAACATCTCCCGCTCTGGATTACTAAAAGGTTTATTATCACGAAGCAGCATAAGTAATGCTAATTATTACTTAAAGGCACAATCCATAATCCAAATGTAAATAAAAGGGTATCATTGCCACTCAAATTCAAAACAAAGGATTTTTAGATGAGCTTAAAGTTCTTCAATAAACTAACCGATAAAAGACTAAAACGTATGTAATTAAAGTTTTATGATGCTAGTTAACATGGATGGATTACTGAACGGGCTTACCGGACACAGGTCCAGTGGCCCAGTGTCAGGGGCCCCCTGGCCTTCACCTACAAAATGCACATATACAACCATGAACAGACTCAAAATGACCAGAAAGAGACATAAAACGACTACAAAGAACCAAAACAACAACAAAAAGATACTTAAACAACTCTAAAGTCTGTGTGTCTTGCTCCTATGTGGTGGTGGGGCCTATTGCATGCCTGTGCCTAGGACCCATGTCTCATATTCCGCTCATGCATGGTTCAGGTTTATTTTCATAAACAATGTCTTCTTTTATCTGTAGGTCAAACTGTTTAGACACATGTGATGTGACCTGACATGACTACTGGATAGATGGATCTGTCAGAGACATACAGATGCTCTTGGTGCCTATCCTCTTATATGGGTGACTGTATTGGGTGTAAGATTCTGATGAGACTAACCCCCATGAAAGTTTGCATCATTGTCTGAAGTTATTTGTTATGCTGTCACTCATGATGACACGCCCCTCTCAGTTGATACCACACCCCCCACGTTAGATCAGGGTCAAAAGTCTGAACTGAAAAAAAACGATCTGAACCGAAAAAAACAACCTGAAAGTGAAAAAAAGATTTGAAACCGAAAAAAAAAAGATTTGAATCTGAAAATATAAAATCTGAAACTGAAAAATATAAGAACTCAAATACCAAAATACATATGAAAGTGAAAAATGAAAAAAAAAATGTATTCGAAAAAATTCCAGAACTGAATCAAAATTATATTCAATCTAAAAAAACTTTTCATTCACTTATTTTTATTTTGAATACATTGCTGTATTTTTCAATGTTCAAGACCACAACTTGAACTTTCAGGTTCATATTTTTTTTTCAAATGAACAAAACTTTTGACCTGGATTTAGCTCCATAGCTTTTGAGATATCTATCTCTTGAGATTTCTGTAACACAGCAGCAGCATGTCTCTTCAGAGACAGTGTCCACATTACTCCGGACACTCCGCCAAACACATTTTTCAGGTGAAGTACTTTCTAATGAAGAAATAGTCCGTAAGAAAAGGTTTGATAAGCTTGTTCTGTGGACTATCATAGCTTCTGTATTGGGTGGGAGCAGGAATCTCATAGCCAGATGTATCAAACCTGGATGGATAAAACCAAAACAACCTAATGGTGGGTAAGTGTTTATGTCATGGAATGTAATTTGTGTGTATGGACCCTTTTTAAAAGGTTGTAAAACGCATGTGGAGTTCATGTAAATGGAGGACAGCAAAGAACAAACCACTTAACCCTTAATGGCATCCAAACCGCTCAGAGGAGGAAACCTATACGGGGAATTCCAATGCAGGTTTGCCCCCTCCATCTGAGCATTGCCAAGGAATCTCGGCAGAGGAAGTAATCAATCTCTTCCTCAGCGGGTCTCTCTCTGGAAGGGTTATACCCCAGCAGTGTGTGGCCACAGAGAGCCCTGTCAGGGTGGTAGGTGCACAGTGCCAGTTAGGAAGGCATGAATCAGAGTCAACTCTGGGAAAAGGTAAAAGCAAAACAGGAAGGACACAAATTAGTGGTGTTGGATCTATTGTGGTGACTGATGATTACTCATGGGGACCATCAGGGGGGTGTAGCGCATTACTGGAGCCGTGCCAACAAGATCAATCACGGACAGGAAGAAGCAGAGTTTAGAATTTGGTGTTGGAGCTGAGCAAAAACAAATTGCGTGTATAAGTTCTTAAATGTTTGACAAGTCAAACACGGAATCTGGTTTTCCTGAATGCAACTCATTTTCTGTTTCCATGAATAACATTGTATTGAAAGTCGTGGACATTTGGAACCGGTATCCAGGAAAATAAAAAAATCTGAGGGCTGATCTTTGGCAGGACTCTGCTCTGGTAGTAAATCTCCCATGTTCCACATGTGGTGTTGATCAGTCACAGCTAATATCACCTAGCACCCTGTGTGCAGACAAACAGCTGCTGATGAATTAATGTTATACAATCAGTGTACACGCAGAAACAGATAGAAATACGCTTTTATTTTTTAAAATTGAAAAGCAACGGAAAAAGTGTTCAGAGGACTTAAAGATGTGCTCAAAGGACCACCAGCAGATTGATTTGAGAAATCTGCACTGCATTAACATTAACGATCACACATTGTGGCAAAAATAAAAGTAGTAGAATGAATTCAAAAAATGTAAAATATGTGTAAATAAAAATAGCAATGTTAAAGGGCCAGTGTGTAGCATTACGGGGATCTATGAGCAAAATTGGAAAATAATATTCATATCTATATTTTCTATAATCACCTGAAACTAAGAATCATTGTTCTTTCCTTAGCTCAAAATGAGCCCTTCATATCTACATAGGGAGCTGGTCCTCTTCACAGACTCCACCATGTTGCACCTCCATGTTTCTACAGTAGCCCTGAACGGAACAACTGAACACTGGCTCTAGAGAGGGACTTTTGCCTTTTTACGTTACCTAAAAGCCACCTTAGTTCTCCGACACTCTTGTGAAACTGCAGCATATTGCTTCATATTTACTGCATAGTTGCGAGAGTATTGCGATCTTATAATGTAACTCTCAAGAACAAACCTAATAAGTGTATTTCCCAAAATGTCCGATTCAATTCAATTCAATTTATTTTGTACAGCCCAAAATCACAAATCACTAATTTGCCTCAGAGGGCTTTAAATCTGTACAGATGCGACATCCTCTGTCTCAGGACCCTCACATCAGAACAAGAAAAACTCCCCAAAAAAAACTTTAACGGGGAGGAAAAAAAAGTTGAACTATATATTTAAAGGAGACATACAGTTTTCAGTGTTTGTGCACTTAATTTAAAATTGTGTATCTGGAGTACCTACCAACCCAGAAACGAAATAAGACAACCCTGCCAGTTTTTTGTGAGCTGTCTAGATTAGATAGACATGTGATTTAACATGCCAATCGGATTTGGCTCCCCTTCTTATGTCACTTGCAGGCTCATTAGAATACACCACCCACGGCTTGAGAACTACCTTTGCAAAAGTACACCATATTTGTCCCACAAACCAATCAGAGCAGACTTTTTTCACAAAAAAAGTGTTTTTTTAAACATTAAAGCAAGTAAACATGTTCTAGTAGAAACCCCAAATTCAAACATTAACCTGAAAATGAGCACGAAGCTCAAGTGTAAGTTCAGACAGGAAGACTATACTCTTGCATGCCTAAGCCCGTAGTTTATTTCTCAAACATCTACCAATCACTCTTCATGCATGCTCACTCATTATTTCCTTGCTGTTATTGTTTGGGGCTGTCAATCATGATATCAGCTGGTCTCTTCTATCCAATAACACAATGAAACAATGACATCGTTGGCCTATCATCTTGCTGCTGTCTCTCCTAAATATGATTGTCTCTCTACCTTCAGTACGTTCATGCTGCTGTTACGCAACCCTCCACCTCCCCATCTCCTCCGAATATTCGCAGATTCATCAGCTTCATCAACTTCATCAACTCATCATTCTATCAACCTCATCAGCCACCATCACCACCAGTGTCTGGACTCCACGGCGGGATTTATATTGTTACAGCTCAGGGCAATCACAACTCGATCACAAATCTCATTGAGTTCAAGCGCCAAAGAATTTCTGTGTAAATCATTCATGCATCATCTGTCATAATAAATGTTAACTACTAATCATTCACTTGTATTTCCTGATTAAAATGATATGCCTCCTTTAAGTGTGTACAATTTATGGTTAGTGGGCAAAACATGCAAAAACAGGATTCAGCTGAAAGGTGTAATGGTTGATTTAGAATTCAGGATTTCTGGATTTTGGATGTCTACCACTGCAACATACATGTTGATGTATACATACATACGCGTACATACAAAGCTGTGCGTCATCTGTGCATCCGACATGTCTCTGTTTGTGTTTATGTTGAGAATAGCATATCCATGCACACTACAATACTTTACGATACCTACAGGGCCTCTGTATTTCTGCCATAACCATTCCTTACAAAAGCACTCAGACGTTACTTATTATCCCAGTGTGTGGTGCAACAGCCGAGTCACAGCCAGCCGGGAGATTTATCGCAGATTTGACAACACAGTTATGACTAAGCTGAATCCTTTAAATCACCCCTGAGCTGACGTTTGGGGGTACACCCCTCTGGAAGAAAGTTATTGCACTAGCAGTCCTCTGGGGCAGCACAAATAACTGCACACTTGCATAAAGCTTCCCAACCCCTCCAGTCTCCATCCACCTGTCAGTGCTGAAGCCTAATTCGAAGCTGCTGTGTGAGCTTATCCTGCAGTTTCATCTGAACGTCCCTTTTCATGGGACAGCAGACTTTGATAGGCTGCTTCCGATTTTTTACGATTGTTTTCCATTGATGGGTGGAGTGGGAGAGCAATGAGCAACCTCAGTCCTCTGCAGCAGCCAAACAAGCACTGGCCAGACACTGTAGTGTGTGTGTGTGTGTGTGTGTGTGTGTGTCTGTGTGTGTGCTTGTACATAGAGTTCGACTTATAAGTCTATTTGTAGGCCGATATTAATATATATATATATTTTAGGTTATGGTACACTTACTATGAGAATTACTTTCAATGGGTTTAATGTAAAAAGGCTACAATTTAATGTGCATTAAATGTCAGTGTTGTGGAACAACATCACACCACAGAGCCCTGATGTCCAAACCAACGATTCCTTTTTATTTGCAGCCTGTGCATATAACTGAAAATCAATTATTTAAATTTTATTCGGACAATAAAACAAAAAAACCCGACAATGACTAGAAAGGTTTATGGACGTGGAGGGTGCAGCAAGTTATTACGCTATATGCTGCCTTCAAATGGAACTTGTGAGATCGTTGTTACAACATGTGAAGCCGTGTACACAATGTGCTTGGCGTTCAAGTGGTTAAGTCAAAAGAAGACGGCTGCTAGGCAACGGCAACATTAACGGACTGTCGGCGTCGAGAAGCCACAATTTACTGAGTGGGTTACGTGATGCAGGAAAATGCAAATGTATAATGACCGAGGAAAAAAGACTATAAACCAGTCCACTCAGCCTGTCTGTCCCACTATAAACCAGTCCACTCAGCCTGTCTGTCCCCCACTATGAACCAGTCCACTCAGCGTGTCTGTC